GTTTTATTTAATTTCATTGTTTAAATTTAATAGATGTTTTAATAGATGTTTTATTTAAACAATTAAATGTTTAATTTCAACAATAAATAATTTCATTTATTTAAATTATGTTTTATCTAAACATTTGTACATCAACATGTTTATTAAATTATTTCAACATCTGTACATCAACATGTATATTTATTTAACATCTATTAAATTATGTTTTAATACATCAACATTTGATTACATCTACATTTGTTAATTGTTAATTACATCTAGTAAACAATTGAAAAAGGGTAAAATAGTCTTTTGTTCATTTATCCTATCCAGTCCGTCCAACCAAACGTTGGATTCACTGAAAATAGTCCTATCCAGACATCTAATCCCATGAAAAAACAAACACAGGATACATATCCAATCCGACCAAATAGTCCGGGGGATTCACAGTCCCAGGATTCCAGTCCGATGGATTCTAATCCCCCTTTTCCAGTCCGTCCAATCAAACACACCCTTCATGTCATCTCCCCCGTATTACACTAGATTGCTTTCATAGATGTGTTTATTGATAGAGTTCATCAACATTGTGAATAAGAACCTAATCTTGCAGTCACTCCAACCCATGGCAATTGGCCACTACGCATCACTACAATAATATTTCAAACTATTGCAACAACCTCACTCCTTACCACCAACTACCACAATTCCTTCCACTTTATGCCAACCCTTGATAATAAAATCCAACCAAAAAAACGAAACAAAATTCATACAATTACTTTTAGGAATTCTTTCAAACACTTGGTGTGTAGCTGCATCCACTGCCCCCAAGCAATAAAAAAATAAAATCTTTGAGCCCATTATCAATCAAACAATAAATAAATAAAATCAGAGAAGAAAGAAATACAGAGCTGTTAGAATGGGGTTTGGGTTTGGTAAAGATGATGTTGATAGTCTTTTAGAAATTTTGGGACCATGACATCAACAGCTGTTGTTTAGTTTTTAACAGTCACTTAATGGCAAGGGGCTCTTTGTAATGTGATTGGAAAACTTAGGGAGGGATTTATAATTTTTCAAATGTAGAGGGATAGTTTGTATTAAATATAAATCTCAAGGGGGTGTAAATGTAACTTACCCTTTTAGTTTTTTGGCTCAGTTCTTTTGGTTAATTTGCCATGGACATTTGGCCATATGTGAGTGATCAAGTCATTGTTGACTTGTCTTCATTTGGATCCCCACCACCAAAGTTTTGTTTAGGGGTGAGCATGGTCCGGATTGGATCGGATTGGGATAAAAATTGCAAATTAAAACTTAAAACTAACAAACAAAAGTAAAACTTTTGTTCATGATTCTTCTTTTTTTAAAATTTGAGTTAATTTAGTTATTTTCCTTTTATCTTATTTATTTTTTATTTTTCTTATGGAGCGTATTTGATTAAGTAATCATTGATTTGGTCATATAGTATCCTATCCACGAAAGGGAATTTACAATATGATTGTACATATTGATACACCTCCAGTTTAATTTTGAATTTTCAAAAATAATTTTTATTTTGTATTTTTGTATTTTTAATAAAATTTTTAAATATTTTAATTTTTTTTAATTTTTAGATCCATTTAATCTTGATATACTTAAAAAATAAAAAAATTAAATAAAAATCTTTAAAATTTTTATTGAATACAACAAAATAAGATAATGTATTGAATCTTTTTTTTTTTATATTTTTGTATTTCGTATTTTTTAAAGTTTTTTTATAAATATATAATTTTTTTTTAAGTGTATTTAGATTAGTTGTATCTAAAAATTTTAAAAAAAATACGTATACTATTAAAAAAATTTACTAAAAATTAAAAAAAAACGAAAAATTAAAAAAAAAAACTCAATTTTCTGAACACTACAAGAAATTAAGGTTTTAGAAACATTTTAAGAATAAAATCACTTTTTAGAGACAATATATTTTTGTCGCCAAAAATATATATATATTTTTTTAAGCGACAAAATTAGATATTTAGTGATGAATTACTAATCTTTTGGGACTAAAAGTATTGTATAAAAAAATAACCTTTTTTGAAACCAAGTTATTTTGTCCCTAAAAGTATATTTATTAGAGACATTTTCAAAATTTTATCCCTAAAATCTCTTTTCTTGACTTTTTGTGTAACAACCCTCACTCCATCTTGGTCATGCTCACATGCAATTATATGTTGTCGTCTTGTTAAACTTGCATTACGGATCTTGTCTTGTTTTGCTTAAGTGTTGTTTGCTTTGCTTTGTTTGTTACTTGGTGTGTGTAGCCGAGGTCATCCTATGCCTAGGTCACCTTTGAGCCTCTTATGCCTAGGACCATCTTGGGATCACCTTGTCTGACATTCACCTTCGCCCTGGCAATATTGGCTGAGATGTCATTATCTAGGCCGAAATGTTATCCCTGCACCTAGTGATCTTGTTCTTGGATTAGTGCGACCTAAACCGAGGTGTGGCACTTCTAGGCCGAGGTATGGCACAGCTAGGCCAAGTGTCGTCCTTTCTAGCCGAAATTATTGTTCCCTTACTTATCGGTGCCTTGTTCTTAGCCGAGATCATTACCTACCAGAGTACCTATGCCATCTTGCTTGTTGAGCACACTTTGTCATAATCTTGTCTTTTCACTCAGTCACCTTTTTTAATAGAGCCAACCAGTCGTTGCCACGTGTCTGAGCTGAGTGTTAAATCAGCCGGCAGAGAGAGAAATGTATCATTTGTTATATGTCTTTGTTCTTGAGAAGAGAGAAGCTCTAGAAGAGGGAGAAGGAGTTCTTAGAGAGGAAATAGATTTCCAAGCTTGCTCCTTAGAGTTCAAATCGTTTGATTCGTGTTTTGAGGTTAAAATCTTAATCTACTCTTGTTGTTCTTGTTATTCATCTAGCTGCATTGCATGATCGAGCACGATTTGTACGCCATGCATCGATTTAAAGTTTCGTTTTAGAAAGAGACAGTGTTATTCATGTGTTCTTGAATAAAAGCCTTGTTTGATCCGAAAGCTTGCATCAAGATTCATGTTTTTGTGTTTGTTTTCATAAAATCTTCGAGTATAGGTACCCAGGTCCATGTTTTTGAATTCATAACATGAAATCTCAGATTTTGTAATGATAAGTTATGATCTTTGCATCCATGTTCTTCATGTTCATGTTTTTCATGTTCTTCAAGAAAGGGAAACCCAGATTTTCCCGACTTCATTTCCTTGAATGTGGCCATCGGGGCCACACCTCGGTAAGGAGGTGTGGGACCTCGGCCAAGACCTGGTTGGTGCCCAGCAAGCTTTCCCCGAAATGAGAAACAGTGTTCTGTTTCGGTTTGACTTAGTTTTGGACTTAGTTTTGAAAGAATGCCAAGATCATTTGCATTCATGTAAAGCTTGTTTGAAAGTGCATTCAATAGACTTTGCCATGTGTTTGTAGGACTTGGACTCTCGCTTGACCCCGACGTTGAAGAACTATGTGAGTGGTATCTTTAATAAAGCTATGTTATAATGTTTTAATAAGCTTTGCTTTGCTCTGTTTTGAAAAGTATTCAATCAAGCATGAATGATTATCCCAGTTTTGTATGCCAAGTATAAATGTTGTTTTGGATAACATTCTCGGAAGTTCGTACGTGCCAGGGGACTTTAAGCATTTGTGGCACTAGTCCGTACGTGTTAGGGGACTATAAGCATTTATAGCACAACCTTTGAAAGTCCGTACGTGCTAGGGGACTATAAGCATTTGTAGCACAACCTTTGAAAGTCCGTACGTGCTAGGGGACTATAAGCATTTGTAGCACAACCTTGGAAGTCCGTACGTGCTAGGGGACTATAAGCATTTGTAGCACAAGTCCTTACATGCTAGAGGACTCTAAGCTTTTGTAACACCTTTGTTAATGTCACCCCTTGAAACTTGAAAGCCTTGAAAGACTTTGATTGATGAAGCTTGAAAGACTTGTTAGATGAACTTGTTTTGTCTTTGATTTTGTGCAAGATATAATGTGAACCGCTTTGATAGAGATCTCGGATATTGTTCATGCAAACTCTTTATTATTTGTACCATTCACTGAGTATCCAAGCTCACCCTCTCTATATATATATATATTTGTAAGTGATGAGCAGGACGGCGGTGACGCCTAGATGTGCTTTGCAACTTGTTTTGGACTCGCATTTTGTAGCATCTTGAAGATCATGCTTCTTACCTTGTAATTCATTGTGTTTTGTATATGATGGCTTCAGAAGCCTTTTGGTCAAGATATATTCTGTATTTCATTTTATTGTATCCAAGTAGTAAAACCTTGATAAGATGTATGACATTCCATTCGATCTATGCACAGCTCTTATGGACTAATTAGATTTATATTTATTGCTTCCGCACATGTTAGCCCCATATGTATACTCTGATTGTGTGTGAATCCTTATAAGTTGGCCTTTGGTAATCTCATATTACTAGCCATCATGGCACCATTCTACTAGGGACGGAATGGGGGCGTGACATTTTGATATGACCTTTTAATGACCGTTCTCGTAACAACTGAGATTAATCATTAAATATTTTTTATAATAAAATATATGCTTTTAGGACTCCCCTAAGAGCATCTCCAACTCAATCCTCTCACCAAGAGGATGAAAATAATTTTTTTTATTCAAAAAATAAATATAGAGTATGTTATTATTCATTTAAACTCCAACCATAAACCTTCAAAATCCTTCAACCATAAACCAGTGCAATAACGGTTTTAAATTTTTAAAAATAGTTTTAAAATGTTTAATTATTATTTTTTAATGAACTTTTTGAATATTTTAGTCAATAAATATAAAACATATACATATATATATAAAAATAAAATGATTTTTGTATTTTTTTTAGTATTTAATGAATTTTTTTAAAGAGGTGATAATGATCATGCAAAAGATAGTGTTTAGAGGGTTTCAAAGACTTAACTTTTTCAAAAGCATGGACTATTTTCAAAACCTAAGGTGATACGTAAGGCCTTTTTGCAAATAAGTATCTCGACAAAAGTACTAGCAAGGATCAAACTCATTTCATTCTGAAATAAGCTAATTATTTCTTTCTACTTACATTTTACAGATCACATTGGAGACTTGGAGGAAGAAAACTTGCATTAATTTCTGGTACACCTAAACATGATGGAATCAAGAACATTTTCATTTCCCAGAAATTATAACCCATTAATTACTATAAACTCCCAAAGGCAATATTTGAGGAATTTCAAAGTCCCGCATATGAGGTTGGAATTCAAATTCCAATGATTCTGATTGTGATTCTACATCGCTGATTGATCCATTAGCAAACTCTCTCAGCCTATTTGATACCCGTGCAGCTTCAAATTTAGTCGTAAATTCCCCAATCTACATACAAAAATGAAAAAAGAAGCAAATTTAATGTGGAGTTTCATTAACGATGAATTAAATGGTTGTACTTGTACATGTTTTAATTGGTAAAAATATTGGCAAATTTTTAGAATGCTGACCTTTGCATGTACTACGTGGCGAATTGATTTTCCAATGACTGAGAAACTGGCATTGACAACCTCGGCACCTTCTTCATGAATTAAACGAATGATTTCATGAAAGATGAACTTGTCTTCTTGCCCACTTATCAGAACCACATTCACAGCAGGACCCATTTCTCGAATCTCGATTTGAGGTAATTTTAAGGCTTGTTTAAAATCAGTTCTGCATGAATGTGATCTTTTTCTACCTAATAGAGTTTCCTTCTTCTCCTTGTATTTTTCCAACCTCATTTGCAAGCTTTTTATGTATTTTTCAGCTTCTTCTAATCGATCCGGTAGTGGTACTGCCTCCTGTAATCAAACAATTTTTTAATTTAATTCCTATAAAAATATGCATTTTTATATATATATGGAACGTGGTCCACTTATAGACGGATACATTTTGTGAACACCCATCATCAGTAGTAGCGGAGTCAAAAAAATTAAATTAGAAAGTGCATTTATT